TAGCATTCCTTGGATAGTCTACACTTACGGCCTAACCACACATGCTTGTATCAAACATTTCTAGAAAAGCGTAAGTTTTGGTGGGCCTTAGCAGTTTGGCCCAAATAGGTATTTTGACAGCACAGGCTACTAACTATATTTTTTGTATGAGTTGTCACTGGACTCTATTGGCTTGCATTGTATTTTCTTCTCAAGGAAAAGCTTTGTAAAAACTGTTCGAGCTTCACTGAGACATGTTAAAGAATTAATTACAAAGTAAAGCTGAAGGAGAAAATTAATTTTGGAAACACAAGAGGTTACTTTTCTTTTCCTCCCTTTTCTGGGAGTGGGGGAGGAAAGGCAGTTATTTTCATCTTCATGCTGGGGACAGGAGTTGGGAGCTGTCCAGTCGATAACCTGGCCATCAGAACAAGGTTTGTAATTAAAAGGTCAGTGACCTGGAAAGCTAGGGCCTCACTCTCAGGGCCTCTCCGTAATGACGGCGCTATTAAATTAAGACTGTTATGAAATCAATGCTAAAAAAGCTTTCATGGTAACGAGATTCCATTCAAGGACATGCAAACTGCCTCATGAAAAGGACTTAAATTATAAAAAAGAAAAGTAATAAAAGAGGGTTAAATTGAAATCTGCTGAAGAGTTTACTTCCTTTAAAGCTGTCCAGCAGTGGGCTGTGCCCCCTTCTCTCAGGTCTTCAAGGTGATCCACTTGGGTTTCTTTGGCAAGGAAGGAAAGACAGGGGTTCAACTTCAAAGAATGCAGACTACAGAAAAACGAAGAAAATTAAGACAGTTTTCTACTGGACATTCTGGGGCTGACAGCATTTGTTTCTAGGGAATCAAGTGTCTTTGAGCTCTGATTGGGAAGGGGCATCTACAATTAAATATTTTATTCATCTCTTCAGGAATCACCATAGCCTGGCATCTTGACACTGGCAAAATTTTCTGGAACTCTGATGCACTGCAAAAAACTGTGCAAGACCTACAGCAAAACCCTGTGTAGTAACTCACTTCCTACCAGCCGAAGTAATGAAACAGATTAGCAGATACAACACGTAAAAGGGCAACGCTTCCAACAACCTCCAACCCATCTCACCAAGCAAGAGCGTGACTGCTTTTGGAAGCATGTAGCCCATTATGTTACATATCTATGTATCTACAAAAGACCAATCCAGGAAGTGTATCTTCTGAAGACCGTCCAACCTTCTGGGTGGACATTTTCCCAATATCAGGGGATAATCAGCAGTTACACATTTACTTGCCCGAATGCACTTCTGTTCTCCCACCACTATAATTTCTAAGCTCCTCTATGCTTTTGTCTGTTCACAATCCCACTCTGGGAAGGCATTACTGTACTCGTTTTACAGATGAAGAGAACAAGCAACTAAGGAAAAAGTTTTTCATCCAGGATTCCACAGTAAGTCTGTAACCTAGCAGTTTTTCCCTTCCCTGTCCCGAAAGACTAGCACCCTGAAAAATAGAGTTACACATGTATAGTGCACTTCCACCCCCTTTCTCTATCTAGCCAGAAGTTACAGATTCAGAGTACACAAAATTAACAAGCCACATGAGTTACCGGATGGGTAACTGAGCAGTACAGGACATCTGAGGCACAACAGTTAGATGACAGACACATTTCCACAAGGGTTTAAACCCCACATGCTGTCTAATTACTCCCAAGGCGCCGCTGATTCTGTGGCATGTCATCAGCAGAATCAGCGAGTTGGACAAAAAACAAACAGCATCTTTTTTTCCTTTCTTTTCTTTCAGATACTCTGAGGGGAAACAGCTGTTTTTCCCTTCATCTGAAGAAGTTCATGATAAAAAGGAGGAAATGTCATAAATTACACAAAATGCCAGTGTAAGCTTCAAAGAAAATGATAAATGATTCTAATAACTTCATGTTTCTCATTAATGCCTCTGTATTTGGGAGTTTAAAAGTGCTTAAGACAACAGAGAAATCTCATCCAACTTTTGAAAGACCTTTTACAAATCCAGGACACCCTCACTCTCCCAACTGTCATCAACACTATCATCCCATGTTCCAGAGAGAGCAGTTCAGCAAACCCCTGACCTGCAAGTATCCAGGAAAGCCTACTTGCGGCCTCTGCAACTACTGTCTCACAAGAAACCAAACCCAGTCCAGCTGATGATCCTGAAGAAACTTTAATTTCTCACTGCACTGAAATGCATTAAACAAAACCCAGTGCCTATATTGAATATTAATTAATATTAAAAGGAGATAAAATTTGATTGGCCTTTTTTAGGTCGGAGACGCTTATAAAAAAGAAGAAAAAATTGTAATTCAAGGCGGAACCATCTCTGCAAGTCTCAGAAGTGAAATTTCTTAGGCAAAGCTGAGATTGCAGGACCTGAAAGCTCACCCACAGCTAATGCTCCAATCCTATCCCTGTAGCCTACATAGGCTGTAGCTGGGGCAGCCGAAGGCTGCTGCAGGGGTAGGGCACCTGGTCTTTTCCCTCCACATTCGCAGACACAAGGTGACCCAGCACCATCCTCTCTACTGCAGGAGTTTTTAACCAGACTGTGGGGAGTCACAGACCTCTCCTGTAGGTTCCACGAAAGTAACTACAAAAGACAAGTTCATACATGGTGTACAACTATCTATAGATATGAAAATTCCCCTCCACCAAACTTCTTCTGGGGTCCATAAAAAGATCTTCTACTGTAACCTCTGCTTGAAGAAACTTGGATCAGAGTAACTGTGAAAAAAATACAAGGGTACCTCTGTACTATTTCCTACAAAGATAATTTTAAAAGAGATGCTAGTAACTGAAATGTTTTCTCTACAGAAAATGCTTTTTTGATTGGCAGTGAGGACAGCCTAACTACCTGTAAAAAGGGGATAAACATTATCATTGGGATGACAATGACTGTGTATCAGAGAATAGGGGGAACGGCCTACCAAACCACGTAATCCCTCATTTACTCAGGACTAAACTAGCCACAACATCTACGTTTCAAGAATAATTGCCTCCATCTGCCAGAGCACATAGGTACCACGACAGTATGTACCTTCTGCTCTTGAGCACTGAACAGAGGTCATGTTGTAAGCTCAGTGGTCAGATTCCACATGGACATATTTCCAGTGACTGCTGGGTACAGGCACTACTGGACCCTGCTCCTTCCTATCTCCCACTGTTAAGTTTTCAAACAAACAATTAGCACAAAGGGAAGGAGGGCTAATTAACAAACAGGAACAAACAAACAGCTCTACCAAACCATTTCTGCTCTTTAGTAATTATTAGCCAAGTAATTCATAAGAAGTATTAGTCGGGCCACAGTTTCTCTGTGCTTCCATCTCCCCACCCTTCCTCTTCTCCCAGTCAGGGATTTATTAAAATTAAACAGATTAGATGGAGCTCCTGATACTAAAAACTGTTCAGCGAAGCCTGCGGTGGGGAAGTGCAGAGCAAACACCAGAGACATTTGTCTCTAAATTGCTCTAAATACCTTCTGCAAATGAAATTCTAACCCAGCTGTGTTGAGAGAGAAAATGAGGAATAACTGGTCATTGTCAGCACAGAATAAGATCAGGCAGTTATAATATTGCACGATATACTGGGGGCTAAGGATCTCTCGGCAACAATAGATTTTGTATCAGGTTACCCCGGGTAATCAGCACAGCTTTTAGGCTCAGCTTTCCCTTGCTTCATTGCTTCGATGATAGAGTTGAAATCCCCAAGCTTTTATGATTAATTACTCCCCGTAGGTCCACATATTTCAAGGAAAAACTCATGGAGCACAGCGGCCAACAGGCTCCAAATTTTAATGCCATCCTGATGGCAGGGCAGGGCAAGCAACATACCTATGTGATTGGAATGTTCTCTAACTGGCACTAGGACAAGCAGTGAAAGGATCACACTCAAAATGATGTACCCATGAACTACTTGTCATGACATCATTGCTGAAACACAAGACTGCCATTCCCTTCTAGGTCCTTTGCTATTCAAGATGAGCAAAGTGGTGCATATACTTGAACTCTCCATCTCATAACATCACGTCTCAGGCATCTCAATAAACAGTTCATAAGCCCAAACATAATAATATGTATTTCATAGGCTTCCCTACTTTTCAAAACTCAAGATCTTTAGCTATAGAATTTGATGTACCCTGATGTACTTATGACTTCAATGTATAAGTGGGTCACTCCCCTCTGAAGTTTGGAGTTTGTATTTTCAGGATCATTCCAACTGCTTAAAGTGCTCCATAGTGCACGTAATTAACTCCAAGGTAAGACTGCCCTTATTATTTACATTTTCCGGTAAGGATCTAAGCAATATGGTCCCAGGAGGGTAGCATAATATGGAGTGAACTTCACCTGAAATGCACTGTAAGTTGTGGACTAAAAACTTTAAAAAGAAAAAACAGAACAAAATATAGTTCTGCTATGAGTCAGAAAGTAAAACAAATTCTCCGTGGGCAATGGCCAAAGTATGTTCCATCTGTCTAAGACGATACAGGATTTGTCAGATTCTGTTCTATCCCTGCTATAGAAAAGGGCTAAACTCAGTCAGTAGTTTACCATTTCAGCCTGAAAGTCAGGTTGACCCCAAGCTTGACCCTAACCTGACCCTGTTTATTTTCACCAAGTCCTTCGCCCTTCTTTCCTCTCTCTGGCTCTCTTCAGAAATATTCAACCTTTTCACCTAGAAGCTGGTCATTCTAAAGCCAATGTCACTAAGGTTAGGACTGACCAACTAGTCTGCAACTCTAAACTGTCCTCATTTCAGAAAAGGTCTGATAATAGTTAACCCAAAAACTTCCAGTGTGTCTTCTGTATCCTACAATTCCACATCTGGTGCCAATATTGCTCTAGTCAGTTTGGAAGAAAAGAGACTGATATTTCTTACAAACTTCAAATCTTTTTTAGAGACAGACTACTTGCTTTGTCCTTAACATCTAATTTTCCATAGTAATACATTTTGGCTTTAAGCTAACTCAAGCTCCCTCATTATCACTGAGACCACAAACTTTCCATACCTTTCTTCTTCAGAAATGCTCTTCTGGTTGCAAGAGGACTTTGGCGGACTCGTGGATTCTGTAAAAACTTCACTGCTGTCACAATCTGATGAGGGTAGGAGGATTGGAGAAATAGAAGAGAGAAAAGATCCAAGTTAGGAATGGTCAAATTCCTATTTTACATTATGCATTCTGTACTGCTAAGTAAGGCATCGTATCCAACACATGGAGACGGTCTGGAGCTGACACCGATCCAACTTTCAGAAATGGTTCAATGAGCATCAGAATTTGTGGCTCAACTCTTATCAAACAGCACAATTATGGTATTTCAACCTAGAATTTTCTTGTTGAATTACTCTTGGAGTAGCTCAACCTGTACAAAAAACTCCGTTGAGATTCTTAGGGGTTTCTGTCATTTATATTGTGATTTTTCTTACCTAAGTTGGCTCCTACAGTTGAGGGCAACCCTGAAACAATGCATGAGATCTGTAACAGTAGGCTTACTAGTAAGAATGCTTCCTTTCTGTCTGACTTAAAGCTTCCTGCAAATTCTAAGAGATTAAGGCTTTTCTGCCATCATTCTAATTTACTGAAACCAATAAATAAACCTCAGCTTGTCATGACTGGAGAAGAAGCAACTTCACATGTTTTGGATCACATAACAAAAATATCAAAAAAGTCACTTTTCATTACACAAATGGGTAGGTGAGTAGTTAAATTTATGTTCCACACCAACAGAAATCACAGATTACTTTTGTCTATAGACTGACTTCTACATCCTTTTTTAAGGTGACATAGCACTTAAAACAAACCACTTATTCAAACAAAGGGTAAAGTATGGGATAATACTCAATGGCATCAACAACAATGGTACTAGTTTTTTACACGTCCATTTAGTGCCAGTGAAATTTATTTGATTTTTTTCTTCATATGGTAGGTCAACTTTCCACATACTCTCCTATACTATTACGCACATTATTACGTGTTGCTGCACTAGTGAAAAACAACTGATTCACTTTACTTTTATACAAAGACATCTGTTCTGATTGTGGCATCAGGGGGAATAATTTGCCTGAAGTTAATAGCACTTAGGAGATGGACACATCCATGTGAACTAGTGGAAGAGATGACTTCCTTCCTCTAGAGCTAAAAATAACCATGCATATGCATGGAAGAGGTTTTTCTCCCCAAACAGTGGCATGAACCTTCTCCTAAAATGGTGGTATATGCTAGACCTATGTTAAGTAGGTCTTGAAGAGTTTATCTTAAAATACAGTTTCTGGAATTCAGTTCCAAAAGGTTTTCAGAACTTTCACAGCAGAAAAAGAAGGAAAAAAATAGCATCGCTACTGAAATCAGTGATTTTCACTTTGTGTTTGAATCAAACCCTTCGAATATGCATTTCTGGTCAGAGAGCAAAGTTCTGATGGGTTTAATGGCACTTTCAATGTACTCCTCAGTGCATTCCATCAATGTTTTTTTCTTTTAAATTGCATCTCTTATTTCTTTAAATACATTAATCAGGCTAGTGTAGGCAAAACGGATCCATTGGACAATGCAATAAACATGAATTATCATCTATCCAACACGCATAATGGCTTAAAAATACATAATAGCAGGTGTAGTTTAAATGATTAGTTATTACACCTGTGGTGGGTCTGATTCAATTGGGGAAAATCATCTTTAATAGGTTAAAAGGTTTAGATCACCAGGCTTCCCTTAAAGTGGCTGTAGAGAGGGTATGATGGAGTACGCTGTCATTACTAATTCATTTAAGAAAAACATGGGGGATACAGCAAAGAACAGCAGAAACGAGCGAATCCAATTTAAACATCAGGTAAAGCAGAAAACACCTTTTAAAAAAGCATGATAAATGAATTTGGGAGAGAGATGAAATTGACATATTTATTTTAACGGGAATTTGACAAAGTCCCAGCACATTTCAAAGTTGGGAGGTTAAAATGAATGGGGTATTTTTAATTCTTTTCCTTTTCTTATTTTCCTTCATTTTTTTCCTTAAGTTTACATTCAGTAATTTTGAACCATAAAATACTACAGCAAAATACCCCACATAAAGTACACTTCGGTTTCATTTATGTGCACTTGATCTGTCTCCAGCTGAAATGCAGGTGACAGGTAAATCACAGATTTAAACTGTGCTGATATTGCTACGCCAGATGCAGAAATATAAAGCGCCCAAACTAATAACCTTAAGATAATATGCTGAATAAGAAAGATGCCCAAATGAGCAGACCAACAGATATGTGAACATACCAAAACCACTTTCCTTCTAACAATAATTACTTGTTTGTTTCTTCAGAAACTCCTCAACACTCCCTCCCACATTTAGTGAGCTAGAGACACAGACACAAAAGGCCTGCAGACCTGAAATTCTGCAAGCTCTCATATTTAATTATCAGTTTTTAAGCATTAAAAAACTTGTAAGAAATAAGCAGTATTTTTCATTGTGCTATTTCAATCACAACCACGTGAACATTTTATTGATTCTAACTCTTTATTAAAACTTATTTTTGCCTTGTAAAAATGTAAACATTTCAGTAGTAAATTTCACTCCAAAATAAACTTCTATTTTATCTCTTCCCTGCATCACTTCCTCCATTATTCACAAGGTTTTTAATCTTAAAACAAAATAAAATTACAAACAACAACAAACTTCATAAAAAAGAATCCTGGACATGTATTCCTCCTCCCAATAATCCCATGTTTCTCATATTTGTTTGCATTTACATTCTCCTAGAGGCTAAGCTGAAACTTCTTCATTTTTATAATTCATCTTGTATACATGAGCAACTTAAAAAGCAATTTCAGCCATGTCAAAATGCCAGTATTTTCAACAAACATACACAAGAACTTTCCTACCTTCTATGGATCATTTTCCTTGCACAAACAAGGGCAACTGCAGTCCATAATTTAAACAACAGGAAAAGGAGGAAGAAGATGAGAAGACTTTGCAGGCCTGTGTATAGCCAAAAAAATCATGCACCAAACAAGCACTCTGACTCAGCTGGTAACATTGTTCCATACTATTTCTGTATCATTTGTAACACTTCTCCAAATTTTTATAGTATTAGGACACTGCCAAATAATGTGCATTGTATCACCACTCTGATTCTGAGATTGCCAGCACACACTGGCCAGCAAACTAGTTTTATCTAGTGGATCAGGTACGTATTTCCCTTCATGAAAGACAGTGTATTTGGCTTTTAAAAGCAAGTCAATTCCACAATTGCTGTCCTACCACCACTTCTCCTGCAGTGATATGATACGCAAAGACATATTTCTGACTGGGTGGTGGTGGGTGGAATCCTGCAGCAGGTCTTGTCCTACAGTTTGATTTTCTAATTAGAAGATGAAATTCATGGATTATATTTGTGTCTGGCCAAATTTCATAAATTCAGGCCAAATATTCTGCTTCAATGTCAAAGATATAAAACGGAGACAGGAACTTTATTGCAGATGTTGTGGGAGTGCAGCAGGCTGGCAAAATTCTGGGCTAAAGCACAGCACTTTGACGTTATAGCCAAGGTCCCTCGTTCCTGATTTCCCTCCCTTTTGTGTTAATGGGGAAGGTAAAGCCAGCCTTATTTCTTATTATGCTCAAAGCTGCAGGGTTCCCAATGAAGCAACCTAAGCTACTTTATCAGTTACTAGCATTAGAAAAATAAGCTATGAAATTTAAAATACTGTGGCAAATGCCCACTTTCTACCACCTCAAAAAAAAAAAAACAAAAAACCAAAAAAACCAATTGATTAACAGAAATGTAAAAGAAAATCACCTTCATCAACTAAAGTTCCACGGGATTCGGTAGCAGAGTTCCACATGGAAAACAGAATCAAAAGCCACCAGGAGAGAAGCCCTTAAGAGCTCTAATAGATTTCCTAATACTGGGAACCCTCTGTAGGTTATTACTAAACAGCATTTGTTGATAGACTGAGACTTTGAGATGACCTGTGATGTAAAGGTTGGATCTGAATTATACGTTGCAAGGGATGGTATTTTGTCTTTCTGAGTGGATCTGTATCTGTTTAAATGCAACACTTCTTTTCATTAAGCAGAGGCGGCACAGGCCATGAACTATGCACAGACAGTTTACATTACATGTGCGGAAGCAATCAACACTGGCAATATACATGACGTATGTAAAAGAAGTTGGAATTAATTTTTTTCCAGTGTATTAAAAAATAATAATATGGCAGTATCAACACACACTCAACCTATTTCAGCCAGAGCAGAAGGCCACAGCTATAGGGCAAATGGAACTGATCAATATATTAGCCTACAGCAACACCCCCTCAGTGTACGGCTGTATGTTTGCAAGGCTCAGAAGATTAAATTGTCTGTGAAAGGTTTCTGCACTCCTACTCTAAAGGAGATACCCAGAATCCTGTTAACAAGCATCAAGCTAAAGCCAACTTACGTTTTAACAAGGGCTGACTTAAAAGCCTGGCACTGCAATGAACATGAAAACCCCTTCAAACAGAAATGCTGCATTTTACTAAGAAATCAGTGCTCTGCCAAGGAGTAACTTGACAAATACGGTTATCGGTGGCACACGGAAATAGTTGCAAAGCAGCTGTTAATCAGGGAAACACATCATAGAACGCTGATGCTAGCACTCATGAAAAAATGCAAGGGGCTAATTATGAAGCCATATATCTCACTAAAGAGGCACTGTTCCTGGAGATTCCAGGCAGAGCTCTCTCAGAGTCGGGGTCCTGGGACACTACATCCACAACGTTCTCCAAGACAAGCTTCCTTCTCCCAGGGCAAACCTTTTCCCAATTCAGTGTTCTGGGCTGCAGAATTTCTGTGAAATTCATATTTCACAGAAACTGCTTGTTAGTTCTAAAGAAATTATCTGCAGGTCGGTCAGGAGAGAGGAAACACTTTAAAGCTCCTATGATTTCATTGAAATTTTTATGAAACCCTGCAGAACCCCAGGATTTCTTTCTGCTGTGAGAGACCTACAAAGTTTGGCGATCTCAAAGTCGTATTGAGAAAAGTTTAAAAATTCAATAACAACAATAAAAAAACCCTCATGTAAAACAGAGCAAAGGAAAAAAAAAATACAATTTAAAGCAAGA